CACAGTAAGCTCAGTTTGAGGGCAGAGACGCATTTTTTGCAGGTCTCTTTGCAATTCAGTCATTGTTTTCCCATAAGTTCGGCGTCAACAAATCTGGTCAGCACATGACTAACTCTCCCCCTCTTTCGCCTTCTGCATCCCGTAAGAATCAAAATGCGAATCAAGGCTCAGGCGCACCTACAGCCAGGTCGCTGAAGGAGGAGGGGGAGGAGGATGAACCCGAAATTCGACTCATCGACCCCGTAGATGTGTCCGCTGCTCTACGACGCTTTGCCACCGACTTTTGCGCCGGAAAGGGTCCACTCAACAAGCCTATGACGGCTATGAGACCCGACCAGGCAGAGGGTAACGAAGCAGATGAGGCGAAGAACGAAGCTAGAGTTTCGAGGCCAGCGAGGGACGATCAGCTCAGCGAGGAAGACCGTCAATACTGGATGAAATACGTGTACGTCTACGCATTCCTGAATTCACCAGCTAACTAAGAAGTAGTTGTGGTGATAGGTTGTATTTGTGCCCGTAGTGACAGTGATTATAGTAGCAGTAATAATACTTTTAGTAGTAGCAGATCAGATCAGATTTATTAAGGGAAGGGTAGGCGAGCGCCCTTGAACTCCCTTTTCGTTACAATAACGTCATAAACAATGTTTACGGCAAGTGTCAATGAAAATTAGGTAAGTAATCACGTACAACAAGCATTGGTTTTTGGTATAAATTTGTTTGTGAAGGCCTTCTATGCCAAAATTGTACAATAACCAGTACGTGGTATTGAATGGATCAAGTAATATCGAAGCAGGAGTATATGCTTCGGTCAGGAGATAACGAAAAGTCCAAAATTAATTCTACTTAAATATAGGAAGTAGCATGTGTTGTAACGCAAAGCCTTTGGGTACGGGTGGTACAAGGGGAAAATTTGTTCGTTTCTGATGCCGTGGTGGTAAATATCCCTGTACTGGTCAAGCTTCCTCTTAAATGTGTCCAAGGACGAGAACACGACGACGTCCACAGGCAGGGCATTGCATACCTTTACCACTTTGTGGGTGAAGAAGGACCTCCTTGCATCCAGTCTCGCCTCTGTCACACGTAGTTACCGAGGATGTCCTCTCAAGCTAGTAGTGGTGGCCAGCTCAAAGAAGTCGCCGGATGCGAGTTAGCAACCCTGACCCCGTAGCATTCAAAACGTTTTCATTAAGTCGCCATGTAGTTGCCTGTAGTCCAGGGGAAAGAGGTCAAGATTTGACAGTCTAGTTTTGTTAGGCTGGTTTTTATGACGTCTAACAAGCTTGGTTGCACGCCGTTGGACTTTTTCGGGGGTGGCACGATCTTTGACAGACCAGGGTCTGCAGCAGCAATAGTAGTTTTAGTAGTAGCAATGATTTCATAGAACGCAGTATAATTTTGTTAGAGATACATAAACTTACGCACTCCCTTCCTCGGACCTATAGGGATAAAACGCTTTTATCTGTCCTCGGTGCATTTCTACATCTCCTGACCCATTGAATGCATGTGTTACATCGTGCTCAAAAGTTCCCGTAGCAGCTAACATTGATGTAGTTCATGACAGTGCTGGTGCGGTCAAAGTCTGTGTCGGTGCGTGTAAATTGCACTTTATCCCCTCCTCGCGATTGGTTGTGCCAGTTTGGATTTGTACTTGACGATTTTGATAATTTTATAATTTTATTTAATGCCAGTTTACAGGCAGTGAAAAAAACTCCTGAGGTAAAGGAATAAAAAAATATAGTTGATGGTGGTTTTTATAGTTTGGAGGGTTCAGGAGAAAAAAAACTGCTGGCGGCATACATTCGACCGTCAAGAAGGGTGGGGGAGGGGGGAGGTTGCACGGTATCGGAGACTATCGGACGTCAATTCCTTTCATGAAGTTGGAGATAGTCAAAGTAGAGGCGTTGAGGAACAGGTGTCGCTGTTGGCCAACAAAATTGTCCATGGTGAGACCGGCCATAGTGCTCAGAGACCACAAACGCCATCGCCACGGTAGAGTCAATCAGTGGATTCAGCACCCAAAATTTGTGGGAGCTTTTCTGAATGCAAACATCGAGTAAAAGTTCTCTTAAATAAAGGATAATTTTGCAGGTTTTTCATACTCATGGGTATGCGACATCTAGATCGTTCGAAGCCTGTTTGCTTCGTGAAGCCAACAGATCGGTGTGCGCCCATTCCTGATTGATAAATACCCGATCTGCAGCGACAGAGAATGACAGGTGACGAGGCACTGATGAACTTCGGTTCGATGAAGTGCTTATGACCCATCTGGTAGACCCCAGTGGTGGATCAACTGCGCCAGGTGCGTCTGTGCGCACGTTTGTGTTTCTGGTCCCAGCTGCTGGTGGTCAGGGTTATGATTGGCTGAATGAGGGCAGAATAAGCCCGAAACAGTGCTGTATCAATCTACCCGCATTCTCTGTCGTCCCTCCTTGCTGCTATTATGACTTGGCCGACTTCGGCCTGGTAATTGGTTGCCTGTTCGTGACCTTTGCCACGCATACGGAACTTG